ACAGAGAAATGGGCAAAGAATACAAAGGGGCTAATTCATGAAGATAAATCCAAATGACAAACAACTGTATGAAAAGATCTTTAATTCACCAGCAGTAAAGTAACCATGAATTAAAGCAACTATCAAAAAGCATTTTATTTGCATTACTTTGGCAATGATTAAAAAGAATAATAATATTTACTTTAGGCAGGACCTGGAGAAATATATTACTGGTGAAATGTGAACTATTAGTCTTTTTGTAAAGTGAACCTACAACATTTACTGAAATTAAAAATACATACTCTTTGAGCTAGCAATCTCATGCTTGGGATTCTATCCCCTAGAAATATTAAGATAAGCACCAACATATAAGGATATAGGTCCTAGGATTTTTCTTGCAGCACTGCTGGTAATCACAAAAATTTGGGGGATAAAGTAAATGCCCAACAGTAAAGAAACTGGAATTTAAGCAGCCATTAACAAGAATGAATCAGTGCTCTATTAGTTAAGTTGGAGGATTTCTGAGAGCTACTGAGTAGAAAAATTAAGATGCAGAAACATATGAATAGGATGCTTCCATTTTATAAAACAAATAAAAATTAAAAACCTGTAGGCCAGGCGCAGTGGCTCACATCTGTAATCCCAGCTACCTGGGAGACTGAGGTGGGAGGATCACTTGAGGCCAGGAGTTTGAGACCAGCTTGGGCAACATAGCGAGATCCTGCTTAAAACAAAACAAAAAAACCTACATATGCAAATATGAATAGAGACAAACATAAAAGGAAGAAGAGTTGATGGAGGTAGAAGCAGGAAGAGAAGGGGAGGCAGGAGCCAAGTAAACAGGAAAAGAAAAAAAAAAACACATCACTGGGAAAATTTTTATAAGCTGACCACTTATATGATTACTCTTCACTCAAAAATTCCACAAGTATCTATCAGGTTGAATTCTTATTTGGGTTAGTCAATCTTTTAATTGTTAATATTATATGGATACAGTGCAATACCAATGCAAAGTGAGCATACAAATATTGGGAAAGACACAAGCTTTCATGAAGTTGAAAAATAATTCAGGCTTCCATGAAGTTGATAAATGATGACCTAGCTCAATTAACAATTAGAGAAGAAAAAGGCAACAAAGATGATGACACAATTAACACTTCAAAAGATAATAATTTGAAAAAGAATTGGGAGACAGAGGCCTTTGGAAAAATGAATGACATCCTGAAAATTTTTATGTCAATGCCAACTTCTACTTTCATATGTGGTCTTCTAATGATTCTAATAATGAGGACTTCACTGTACATAAAACTAGAATGTAGAAAGACTTTTGATGGGAGAGGGCTTCCTTTGCAGCCATAGCAAAATGCTCCTCAATGCTTGTCACATGTTTTTAAAGTTTGCTCACATTATGAGCCACCTACTACATAGTTATTTATTACCTGGAAGCTCTGTGTAACCCTTAAAGGTTTTCTTTTTTCCTTTTGGAAGTCTCCATCACTGATGTAATATTTGGAAAGGTCTTAATTTACTGGGATGCAGTGGCAACAACTGTTTGTTAGCTATTCAACAATATTTCCCACTTTCCTTCTTCTTTCTTACGGTAGAGGACAAAGTAGTCAGATTCTTATTTTCCTGCCTCCCTTGAAGCCAGAGTTAGACATGTGATCCAGTTTTGACCAATGAGATTTAAAAGTAAATCCTGGTGGGGCTTCTGGAAAATATTTTTTTCCTCCTGCTAAAAGAAAAGAGGCATGTGACGAGAAATCTCTCTCTTTGCCCTGGGTATTACCCTGCTTCTAGCCTTTGAATGTGGTCCAATGAATGTGTGATGCCCGGAGCTGCAGTAGCCACTTTGAGACCACGAGGTGACAAGTCTTGGGGGAAAAAAGCCAAGAACCTGCAGACTGTAGCGTGGAAGGATAGAAAGAATCCAAATTCTTGTTGATGTTACTGATCTGCTGATCCAATTCAACTGTGGAACTACTTTTGTAATCCTTGTTAAATGAATTGTTTTTATGGTTTACCTACTGTTAATTGGGTTTTGGATTATTTGGTGAAAACATACATAATAATACAAATTCATTCATTCAACAAATATTTACCCAGCACCTACTATGTACCAAGTGCTGTTTTAGGATCTGAGGACACAGAGTAGGAAAGAGATATTAAACCAATATATATATCAGGCTGTGATAAGTGCTGTGAAGAAAAAGCATGATAAAGAGATGGAGCATGTGCTAGTTTATATAGAGTACTTTAGGAAAGCCTCTCTGATTAGATGATATTTGAGCAGAGATTAGTAGGAAATGACAGAGCAAGCAGCAAGGGTATCTAGGTATGGTTGGCAGTTTCTAAGATGGTCCCCAATGGTCCTGACTTCTGGTATTCATGCCCTGCGTAGGCCCTTTCCTTGAGTGTGGCTGACTTACTGACTCCCTCCTAAAGAACGGAATATGGCAGAAGTGAAAGATACCACTTCTGAGATTAGATTTCAAAAAGACCAACTTCTTGGGTACCCTCTATAGCCTGCTAGTCCTGGGGAGGAGCCCATGTGACAAGGAGCTGAGGCTTGCCAACAACCATCTGAGTGAGAGTGAAAGTTAATCCTCCCAACCCCAGTTGAGCCTTCAGATAAGACTACAGCAGCTCTGCCCCTTGACAGCAACTTCCCGAGTCCCTGAGCCAATGGCAGCCAGCTAAGCCATATCCCTGATTTATGACCATAGAAATTGTAAGATAGTAAGTACTGTCTTAAGCCACCAGATTTTGGGGCAGTTATGCAGCATTAGATAATGATCCTGAGAATGGCATTCCAGGCAGAGGTTACAAGTAAGTGCAAAGGTCCCAGGGCAGGAATATGCTAGATACACTTAAGGAATAGCAAGGTGGATAAAGTGGCTGGAACAGAGTGAGCAAGGGATAGAAACAGAGATCAGGGGAAGTGGACTGGATTAGGTCTAAGAGTAAAGATTGCTGAGAAGCCACTACAGCTGTCTAGAAACTCTCTCATGACAGTATCCTATAATACACATTAAAGTATAAATTATTTACTAGTCCTTTTAGTTTCCTCTGTGAGGCCTGCTTGTTAAACCACATTGATATGTAACAGGCTGAATTTCAGATAATTTCACTTCATTTTCTGCACTGATATGGTCTGGCTTGGGAAATGAGAGAGGGAAAGGGGAAAATAATGGCTAATGGGAAAAATAAGTCACCTTCTGAGGTCCTCTGAAGACCAGCAAACTAATCCAGAAGGTCTCAGTAGGATGAAAGGCTAGACTCATGGAGAGGAGGGCAAGTTGTGATTAACAGGTCTAACTGCTACTAGATTTTGGACAGCAGGACAGTGCAGGCAATGGGGTCCTAGAGAAAACAGCTTAAAGCAAAGCAACATTACCTGCCTTTGTTGGCTGAGAAACTGGCTCTGAGGAACAGAATCTAAGAACCATCATTCAGGATGCCTAATCATGTTGCAGCAATCTAAGAGGAAGGTAGGTGGCTACACAGGTGTTAAGACTCAGTTTTGTCTTAAAAAATTACTCTAGAATGAGGTCCAAGTAAATATTGTAGAAGTAGCAACACATCCTTTCAGAGGTTCTCTTGCTGCTAGGGAGGAAGAAAACTCATAAAGACCAGTTTTCTCAATATAGGCTATATTACTATTAGCATGAAAAGGAACCAGATATCCCACTCAATTTCCCTAGTTTCTTTTACAAGTTATAATGTGATGGCAAATTCAGTTTTAAGCAGTTGGCATGTACTGTGATTTTCAGTTTGGGAAGTAATCCTAATCAAAAGATAACATGCTTTCAAGAATAAAGCATGGCTTCATTGCAACAATTATGTAAAGAGTACAGAACAAAATTTCTTAAGGAAATTAATTGTCCTGGACAAACCACTGTTTGCCCTACTGGAAAGGACACAAGAAGACAGATCTATTTTTATCCTTTCACAAAACCTCAGTACCATAAAGGAAGCACCGGGCTCCACAAATCCATTATCACGAACAAAATATAATGGTTGTTGATCAAGATAAATGTGAGCTGCATCTCTCTTCCAGAAAAGTTCTGAAATGAGCCTGATCACTATAATCCAATTCCTGAATCCTAGGAAAGACAGGTGAAGGACAACTAGGGAAGGTGTCCCCTGCTGTGGGCAGAGGCAGTAAAACTTCTCCTTCACTACCCTTCACCTATGTTGGGAAGTGCTCCATGAACTTGGAATCAGGAGACCCTGTTTCATTACTAGCTCTGTGACTTTTTTTTTTCTTTCTATGTGATCATAGCCGAGTACGGACCTAGGTAAATTTTTTTTCGAAATATAAAGGACTTTGGCATCACCATGTCACAGGTGAGGAAATTAAGGTGCAGAGAGGACCAATGACGTGCCCAGACTCACAGCCCGTTGAACTAGAATTCAAACCCGGGTCCTTCAGACTGTAAAAGGTCTCACTTAACCCCTCAGGTTCGCGAAAGTTAATAGAGGAATAAGCACCACCACACAGCATTGATCCCGGAAACTTGGAAGGATCACTTGAGGGCCAAGCAGCTGAACCTCGCTTCCTAAAGGGCAGAAGGGGTGTGCAAAATGATTTCCATCTAAGCGGAGAAGCAGAGCGGAACACAGCCCCTAGAGGCCCCTAAGTCCTCCATCCCAAGTCCCCAGTCCAGTCGGCACGCGACGCAGCAGACTGCCCCTCTGGCAGCGCGGCCCAGCCGGGGCAGGGAGGGGCAGGGGGCCATGCACTGAAGGGATGCGCACCCCGCCCCGACTCACCTGTCAGCCGGGCGCGCCAGCGGCGCACGCGCAGGGCCGGCGGTCGCGCGCACCGTCTGCAACCCGGTCCCACGCCTGCCTCCCGGCAGCGCTCCCCTTCAGTCCCCAGGCCCAGATGGAGAGCTGGCCAGACCCCGGCTTCCGCCCCTGGCTCGCCAGGCCGTCACGTGACCCAGGAGGCGGAGAGCAGGGCGGGGCGTCACGTGACCACTCGCTGGCGACGGATGATGACGAAGGAGCCCGCGCTCGCCGTTTCAGCGACAGGCAAAGGGAGTTGAGGAAAGGAGTTGGGGTCCAGGTTGGGGAAGTCGGCTGCGGCCACACAGAAATAGCTCGGGCAGTCAGGTAAGGCGGAAGCGGGGGATGGCGATGGGGAGGGTGGCGGGAGTTGTCGCTTACCTCTGGGCCGCTCTGCGGGCGCCCAGAGCTGGGGGATCAGTGGACCTGGGTTATGGTCCTGGCCCTTTAGACGCCACAGTAGTGAGTCTGGGGCAGCTCACTCGCCCCCCTCGTCCCCGACGACATCTCTCCATCCTCAGCCCAATGTGTGTAGGGGAAAGACCGCGAATTTTTGATCCAAGTATGTCTGGTTCGAACTGGCTTTTAAAGCAGGTCCATGGGCAGGTCGTTTAAGTAAACTCTCTGGGCCTCAGTTTCCTTTTTGCTTGTGTAGATTGCTGTGATGATTAGAGATAATGAGAATGAAGCTCCAAGGCACCAGTTTATGGCACACTGTAGGTGACCTAGAAATGGTCGTTGTCTGTTAACTGTTGTTGTTATGTGTAACTTGCCAAATCTTTACTGATCACCTATTTTATGTGAGGAGCTGTTTTATATGTTATGTCATATGTTCTAGTTTAAGGAGCTCCCAGGGTGAAGGAGTGGCAGACATGTGAGCAGTTGGTTGTGTTTTATAGTTTTATAATAGGAGTGTGGGGTGTGTGTGTGTGTGTGTGAGAGAGAGATAGGGATAATGGTGGCATGAGGGAGGGAAAAAGCAATTGTATGGATAAGAGAAGGCTTCAGAGATGATATATCCTTGCATGTTGAAAAAGGAGACACTACTGTGGTTGACTTGTACAAAGCTCCCGTGGATTTAAAGGAAGTCAGCATATTGTCTAAAAAGTGTTTGTTCTGTGCCTAATACTGTGCTATACAAAAAGATGAGTAGAGGAAACAGTGGAAACATATTTTTATTTTTACATTAGCTAACACTTTGCCTACAGAGAATTTTATTGTTAGGGGAGACAAAATAACATGCTAAGGAAGAATTCAGGAAATGCATAACCTTGTTCTAAACTTTCTTGGTGACCATAGGTATGAGGAACAAAAAGACCACCGTTATTACCTGGGGAAGGATCCAACAAGAGGTTGATTTAAACCAGTGTTTCTTAACTGATGCACTATTGACAGGTTAGGCCAGATAATTCTTTGTTTCAGGGAGGTGGGGGCTGTCCTGTGCATTGTAGGATATTTAACAGCATCCCTGGCCTCTGCCTGCTGGATGCCAGTAGGTACTTCCCCCTTTGTGCATCAGCCAAAGTGTCTCCAGATATTGCTGAATGTCTCCTGGGAGAGGGACAAAATCTCCCCTGGTTGAGAACCACTAATTTAAACCAAGGCATGAAAGATGGTATCTTAGTCAGTTTGGGCTGCTGTAACAAAATACTATAAACTGGGTAGCTTATAAACAGTAGAAATTTATTTCTTACAATTGTGGAAGCTAGGAAGTCCAAAATCATGGTGCCAGGAGATTTGGTGTCTGATGAGGTCCTGTTTCCTTGTTCATAGGTGGCACCTTCTTGCAATGTCCTCACATGGTAGAAGGGCAAGGCAGCTCTCTGGAGTATCTTTTATAAGGGCACTAAGCCCATTCATGAGGGTGGATCTAATCACCTTCCAAATGGCCTCACCTCCTAATACCATCACCTTGTGAGTTAGGATTTCAACATGTAAATTTTAGGGGGACACAACCATTCAGACCTTAGAAGATGAGTAAGATTTGGGCAGATAGAGAAGTGAAGAGGATATTCTCATGGTGGAACATGATGAACAAAGTGATGAGCTGGGATTATGAATAGTGTGTATGAGGAAGAGAATGAAAGAAGAGAGGGGTCTGACTGAAGTAGACAGTTGATTTATTCATTTAGGGCATATCTTCTGAGTGCTTACTGTTTGTGAAGCACTGTGAGCATCATGCAGGATAGTAATGATTAACAAAGTAGAGTGACTGCAAAAGTGTAATCAAAGGAGATGCTGTTAGAGTCAGAGAAAGAAGGGATTGTCTTTGACTTACTGACTTAGCTGTACTTACTGGGAGGAATTGAGAAAAGTGTTTCTACTCCATCTTTCTGTGTTATCCATACTCTTTGCTTCTCAATCCAATCCCAGTCTTAATCTTTCCCTACTCCAGAATTACAGAAGGGTGTGACCATGTTTTCCATGGCTATCCACAAGAGTAAAGTTTCACTGGAGTAATGTGAGTTTTGCATTCAGACAAATAATGATAGCTACCATATGGTAGACACTTTGTATTTGTCCTAGATTGCATTAATCTTTTTATATATTGTGTCTTAGTTCAAGCTACTGTAACAAAATACCATAGATTGGGTGGCTTAAACAACAGAAATTAGTTTTTTATAGTTCTGGAGGCTAGAGGTCCAAGATCAGGGTGCCAACATGGTTGGAATCTGGTGAGGGCATTTTCCTGGCTTGCACATGGCCACTGTCTTAGTCCATTTGGGTTACTATAAAGGAATATCTAAGGCTAGATAATTTATAAAGAAAAGAGGTTTATTGGGCTCACGGTCTGCAGTTTGTTCAAGAAGCATGGCATCGGCATAGGCTTGGCTTCTGGTGAGGGTCTCAGGCTGCTTCTGCTCATGGTGGAAGACGAAGAGGAGCCACTGTGCAGAGATCACATGGCAAGAGAGGAAGCAAGTGGGAGGGGAGGTACCAGGCTCTTTTTAACAACCAGCTTTCATGGGAACTAATAGAGTGAGAACTCACTCATTACCACCAGGACGGCACCAAGTCTTTCATGAGGGATCTGCCTCCATGACCCAAACACTTCCCATTAAGCCTTACCTCCACATTGGAGACCAAATTTCAACATGAGGTTTTGTGGGAAAAACATCCAAACTATAGCAGCCACCTTTTTCCTGTGTCTTCACACGGTAGGGAGAAAGAGCAAGCCCTTAGTGTCTTGTTCTCTTCTTGTAAGGGCACTAACCCATCACCTAAAACCTCATTATCTATCAAAGGCTCCATCTTCAAATACCATTACATTTGGGGTTAGGGCTTCAACATACGAATTAGGGATGAGGACAGAATCATAAAACATAAAAATAGAGTTTCCTCTGGGTCTCCCATAGGGATTCTGATTCAGTAGGTCTGGGATAGTGCACATAAATCTGTATTTTTAGTAATTTTTTCAACTGATTCTTCAGACAAGTTCGAAAAAAACTTGTTTTGTTTGAGAAAAATGTAATTTATCCTTGCAATAATGCTGTGAGATAGATAAGATGATCTCTGTTTTACACAGGAGCAAACTGAAGATAGAGAAATAAAGCAACATAACCAAGGCCATGCAGTTTTAAGTGGCATGGACAGAATGAAATTTCCAGGTATCTGTGCCCAGTGTGCTTCCTCTTAGGCATGCCTCTGTATTTCTGCTCACAGTACTATGATGATGAAGCTGATGGTGATATTTGCTCTCATTTTAAAGATTTATATGCTGGACATTATTCTAAGTGTTTTATTATACATATTAACTCATTCAGTCCTCCCAGTCATCCTTGAGGTAGGCACTGGATCATCCCCATTTTATAAAAGGAAAAAGTGACGCATTGAGAGGTTAGATAATTTGCCTCAAGACTTTCAGCTACTAAGTGGTGAAACCAGGCTTTGAGCTCAGGTCGTCCAAGGGCTGCATGTTTACCCCCTGCTCTATATTGCCTTCATGTTCTACTCCAAAATGTAGCTAATGTTTATTTTAATATTAACATGTTTCATGTTATATTTAAATAGAATTGATATTCCGGGAGGATAAGTTTTGTTTATGCTGTGGTTTTGCTCCCTCTTGTTTACTCTCTGGTTCATATATAGAGTACACTTTGATAAATGTGCTTCTAGAACTGTGCTCTCCAGTACCGTAACACATGAGGACATTTACATTTAAATTAGTTGAAATTAAATGAAATTTAAAACTCAATTCCTTAGTCACACTAACCACATTTTAGATAATCAATGGCCACATGTGCCTAGTGGCTACCATATTAGACAGTGAAGATTATAGAACATTTTTGTCATCACAGAGAGTTCTATTGGACAATGCTCCTCTAGACAAACTTATACTAGAATCAAGACTGACTAGAAAACTGAATACTTGAACCATATCATTTTGGGCCTTGCAGGGTTGTGTTTTTTAAGTAGCACTTGATACTGTAACAGGTAAACCCCTAAATCTAAGTGGCTTTGCAGTTAAGTTTCTTTCTTTCATGCATGGAGCCTGATTGGTAAGCAGTTTTCCTCCAAGCAGTGATGTGGGGTCCTAGGCTCCTTCCATCTGGTGATTCTCTATTGTGGTATATAGCTTCTAAGGTCACTGTGCTTGCCTGTGTGTCAAGCTATCAAATGGGAAAGTGTGTGATTTTTATGGGCTGAGCCTGGAAATGGTTCTTATTTCATTGCCGTTAATGCAATTGTAGGCTACACCTAACTTCAAGGAAGGCTGCAAAATGTAGTCTGTATGTAGCTGTATGACCAGGTTGAATAGGAAATGGATCTGGTGGGCACCCAGCAGGTGTCTATCACAAGTGTCCTTTTCTTAGCCTATCCTGAGGCGTAGTCTCAAGAAACAGTTGTAGGAAGTTGCTATTGTATTTATTGTAAGGATATTATTAAAGATATTTTTTCAGTGTAACTTTTATTATTTCATACATGATGAACCATACTGCGTTTATTGCCATGGAAAGCTTTATTTTTCCTGAGATTCTGGTGTTCTTTTTTCTTTATGGAGAAGGTAGCTTTCATATTTTGTTTTGATTTTTAGGAAGCTCACAGCCAAATAAATTTGTATTACAAGTGTAGCACTATGTAGAATCCTAAAGTCTACATGACTGCACTGTAAGTTTCTTACTTGCTTTTTGTTTTAATTTTTGTTTTTTGATCCTGATTTTTATGAATTTATATTTTTCCATCTTGTTGTATATGTTTGTATTTATATGTGTAAAATGTCTCAACTCCTTTTGGGTAATAAAGTGAGATTGTAAATAGGCATGCTCTTTCACCAAAATGCAAATGTTTAAAAATCATCATTGGCTTTTATTCATATTCATATTTTCTCTCTTTTGGTGTGAAATTTTAAAACCCCAGAAAATAACATAACAAGAACCCTTATTTTGTCACCCAGATTTTAACATCTATAACATTTTGCCATTTTCGTTTCAGGTTTGATTTTTAAGATAACTTTTAAAAATACATAAAGCTAAAAGTCCCATTTGATGACCACCTGATTCTCTGTCCTGCACATAAGACCCTCTACACTATACCCCAAAAGAATGAAATCCAGGTATTTTCCATCCCTTTGTCCCTGTGTGCCAGGCAAAGGGGACTCATCCCATACTTTACTACCTTATGACCTTTCTTCATCTTACTATTTCCTTCATCTGAACTGCTCTGCCCTGATATTTTAGACCTTTCCAAATCCTAAATATCCTTTATGGTCTAGCTTAAGTGCCTTTTCCACGAAGCCTATGGTTTCCCTCAGTTATGCCTGTAATCACTTCCTTTTTGGAACCTCATGGTGTTCAGGGTTTGTGTAATTTCTTCTTTGAACTTCATAGTACTTGATTCATTCTTCTAATATGGCACTTGTCTTCCAAGCTTGTTTTGAGGGATTGTGGCAGAAATAGGTTGTATTTGTTCTGGAATACCGACTAATGAAGGTTATGTGGAATGTATGTTTTGTCATGGGGAAAGGTAGAATCTCTGATTTGAAAAGTGTATTTGTATTATGTTGTAGAAAGCTTTGGATACTCTGCTCATAATGTTGAATTTTATTATATAGGCAACAGGAAGTTAAGACCAACCCTTCCTACTTTTTCTTGTCTATCTTTATTACTGGTATCCCTGTCTGTCTCATCAAGTGCAAAGACCCTAATGTGGAAGCATGCCTGGGTTATTAAAGGATTAGCAATGGCCAGATAATCTAGAGCAGTGGTTTTCATAGTATGGTTCCTAGATCAGCAGAGTATGTATTATCTGGAAATTTGTTAGAAGTACAGGTTCTTAGGTCCCCTCCCAGATCTACTGAATCAGAAATTCTGAGGATGAGGTCTAGCAATCAATATTTTAACATGTCCATTAGATGATTCTGATATGCTAACACTGAAGCCTAGGTACATCAGAATTAGAATTATTATACATGAAGGTCCTGTTAAAACACAGATTGGGGCCTGAGAATTTGCATTTCTAAGAAGTTCAGAGGCGATGCTGATGCTACTTGGTCCATGTTGGAAGTCACTTTTTTTTTTTTTTTTTTTACAGAGTCTCACTCTTTTGCCCGGGCTAGAGTGAGTGCCGCGGCGTCAGCCTAGCTCACAGCAACCTCAAACTCCTGGGCTCAAGCAATCCTACTGCCTCAGCCTCGCGAGTAGCTGGGACTACAGGCATGCGCCACCATGCCCGGCTAATTTTTTTCTATATATTTTTAGTTGTCTGATTAATTTCTTTCTATTTTTGGTAGAGACGGGGTCTCGCTCTTGCTCAGGCTGGTCTCGAACTCCTGAGCTCAAACGATCCGCCCGCCTCGGCCTCCCAGAGAGCTAGGATTACAGGCGTGAGCCACTGCGCCCGGCCTGGGAGTCACTTTTGTTGGTTGTCTTAAAGCTCTTTGATTGTTACTCTGAGTGAATTAGGAAGTCCTTAAGGGTTTTTGAGTAGAGAAGTCACATGATTTTATGTACATTTTCAAAGGCTCACTCTGGCTGCTGTATTGAGAATCGGATGAAAGATGCAAGGTTGGGAGCAGGCAGACCATGTAGGAGGTTGTTGGAATAATTCAGGCAAGAGCTGATGGTTTGAGTCAGGCTGGTAATGATGGAATTGGTGAGAGTGGTTGGGTTCTAGAGATATTTTGACTGCAGAGCTGGCAAAATTGGTGATGGATTTGATTTAAGATATGAGTGAGAGGTGGAGGAAAAGGGTCAAGTATGAACCAAGGTGGTAGCAATGGTGAGAATGGAAATGCCAGAGATACTACACAGTTCTCTACTTAAGAAAGGAAGGGCAGGAGGGAAAGTTTTAATACTAATTAATTATGTACTGTATGCTATACTGCACCATGATTATTCCTTCCCATTTTAAAGGTGGTAAACCTGAAGTTCAGAGAGGTTTAGCAGTCTTCCCATGGTCACACAGTAGTAAAGTAGCAGAACCTGAATTCATGTTATGTCTATCTAATTCCAAGAGAATGCCTTCATACTGTTGCCATACAGCCTTAGGAACAGCCCTCCCAGCCCTTTAAACCTATATGAATTCTCTCCATTTTTCTAGTTTGTTTCAGTGGATTGAATTTCAGATGGTTTCTGAAATAAGCAAAGATGTCTTTTTTGTAGGTGGCTTTACATAAGTGGTCCAAAGCTTTAAAAGTTTGTGGTTGAAGATATGG